GGATTTCTGACAGCTGGGGCCAGCCTATCCAGTGCGAACGGGAGCCGGGCTCGCCCAGGCCCCTTTCCAATCAGGGAACTTGGGGGCGAGAGCGAGTGGAGGGGCGGGCTGGGATCTCCCGTCCCGCCGGGACCGGCGCGGCGAGGACTGGGGCGAGTTGGAGAAGGGCATTGGAGTGACCCGTCCACCGCTGGTGGGACCGTGTCCAGGCTGAGGTTGGAGCCCGCACTGGATGCTCCCAGAACTTGTAGCGAAGTGCACTGGTTTCTACTTTTAAGAGTCAGGGGGAAAGACATTCGTGAACATCTCGCTCATCGGAGATTTTCTGCCGGGTGATTAGTCAAAAGAGTATTTATGACTCGCACGGTGTAACATCCTTAGGGAATGCCTAGTGTCGCTCGCCGCCTTAAATCCTTTCGGGAACAAGCCTGGGTATAAATAAATAAAGCTAAGCATGGGTCTTTCCTTCACGAGTCGCTGGTACGCAGACTAAAGACAGGCAACAGCTGAGTGTGTCCAGAAAATTAAATATTGATCGAAATATGCATATAGGAAAAAAAATTCATTGCAATGTGCACAGCTTACGGTTTTACAGATCTTGGATATATTACGCACTTGAACTTCAGCCTACAGGGGGGAAAAAATCTAATTTATCTGGAATAGACCCTGAAAGTCTGAAAAGACTCAGTTTACAGATGAGTAAACGGACTCAATGAAGTATTGTGCCCAAGGTCATCTATCAGGTTAGTCGTTTAATTAAATCAGTGTGTTAGGAAGCAGGGGTAGTGGCAAAGCATGAGGTCTGGAGTCCAAAATCTTGGTTTCAGTTCCTTGCAGGCATGTTCTGAAAGTGTGTCTTGGGCAAATCCGGTAACATGCTTCTACTTGCTAAGTACTTGCCATGTGTCAAGTGATCCACTTTACATGTGATGCTCTATACAGGTGGTGTATCATGTAGTGATTACTGTCCTCTTTTTGTGAGGATTTTAGGTTTAGAGATATTAATAGTTTCCCCAAAGGCACACAGGTATAAACATTGTAATAATAATTCAAACTCAGTTCTTCCTGATTCCAGAGTCTGTCCCCTTGAGTATTGCAGTACACTAGAGCTTCATGTTCCCTCGCACTTAAAACAGGGGCTGCACCCCTAGCTCTCACAATTCTTCCGAGTCAAATGAGATAACGTACATAGCAATGAATTATAAGATGTATAAAGGTATAAGCACTCACTAGATTTCTAGAACAAAGATGCTCCTCTGTATTTTCCACTACAGCTCTTCAACCTGAAAGATGGCTTTAGGATTAAGCAGGCATAGGAAAGGACTTCACCATAATGTTGTGGTATTCTCACCCCAAATACCTGCATATCTGAAGCAGTAATCAAAGTGAATAGAGTAAAATATAATTCCTGCTAGATAAAGAAGGGAATGGAAATGAATACTAACTCCATTCCTAGCATTCTGTATTGGAAGGAGCTTCTAGGAGTCATTGGGATTTCTGGTCCTTTTCAGCTGAAAGATAGATGATAGTCTGCTGAACACGGAAGAGAATGACATTTAGTTTGAGAATAAAAGTTCATCTGGTGTATGAAAAAAACAAAAAACGTTTGCCTCAAGACAGGGAAGAAGATACGTGGAGAGCTGAAAGAAAGGGGAAGCAGGTAAGCTAGTGGATATTGGTAAACGTCTGTGAACCAAAGTCCAGAATTTTGAATATGATGTAATAGGAAACAACACCATAGCTTTTAGGACCAAAAATAAGGAGGATTTATACACAGAACTGGGTATAAGAAAACGGAGTTGTGGTGAGAATAAAAACAGGGTTTGGAATGAGTATGTGGTAGTCAAGATAGAAACAGGCTGATGCCAGACATTGTGCAATCAAAGTGTTCTGTGAAGTGGACAAAAATATGTAAGGATGTTTTTTAAAGAAAAATTAGGGCTGGGATTTAGTACTCGATTGTTTTAAGACAGTAAAAGAAGGGGGAGAGAGATAATTAAAGATAAAGATATTTCAAAGCTGTATTACATTAAAGCTTGGGCAAAATATTCAGTAAAATGTAGTTTTGGAGAAAGACTGACTTAGAATTTGAAAATCTGTTAACAAATTTCTAAAAATAAAATATTTCTAAAATAGTTCAGAAAATATTTGTTATTGCCATGTGTGAGTTAAATCGCCTTACAGACATAAGCTTACTGAAAGTCATTGTAGTGTCTTTTTATGGTATTTATCTCACCCTTCTCTTATTCACTTTTTCAGACTAAATATTTAAATACTACCCACCACTCCTTGGGGCCCAGAAGCGGAAGATATGATTTTTAATGTGCATAGTAGGCTTAATGGTAACCTAGCTATGATATGCTAGCAATTCCAGAGACTATCTTAATGCCTGGACACTAAGGATCAGTCACCTATGAGCTGATTTGGTCAATGAAGCTTATCAGAGATTGCATTCTAATTAAGCCTCCATTCTCTAGCATGTTTTGTTTTGTTTTAAATTATACTTCTCCATTTCACACTTATGCCTCTATCATTCTAGTTATATAAACATCGACATTTTACCCGTTGTTTTCTGCATTTTTTATCAGCAATAAAACTGAAGAAATAAAAAAGCAGCTCCCAGTTTATTAATTATTATACTATCCTTCTTATGCTACAAATAAACTTTTCAAAAAAGAGAAGCGTTTGACTTTCTAATTTTCTGAAAAGAAATGTTTTATTTTTTAATTACCCAAGAAAGCAGCACTGCATTTCTCTTTTAATCCTCACCTGAGGATATGCTTTTTCTATTGGTTTTTAGAGAGAGAGGAAGGGAGAGACAGAGAAACATCAATGTGAGAGAGAAACATCAATTAGCTGCCTCCCATACGCTTCGCCAACCTGCAACCTAGCATGCTTTATTGGAAGGAGCATCCGGGAGTCATTGGGATTTCTGGTGCTTTTCAGTCATGAAAGATCAATGACAGTGCCCCGACAGGAATCAAACCCTCAACCATTTGGTGCATATGGCAACACTCCAACCAACTGAGTAACCCAGCCAGGGCTGCAACACTGCAAATTGAATATTTTCTAACAAATTAAGACACAAGAGAACTTGTGTGCTTTTTCTTGCTAATTAGGTGATGAATTATAAACATAAGCAACTGTGATAGAAAATAATAATTTTCTTTATCAGCCTTCAGTAGGGGTCCTTTTTCTTCCTAAGTTTTGGTCTGAATAACCTGCATGTAAGATAATCCATTTTTAGTAATAGTGATCAGCTTTTTAGAGAAAGCACACATAGTCAATATCCACAAATATTCCTAAATCCATTTCTTTGTCTCCATGCTCCCGCTTTCCTACAAACAGTCCTGTTACTAAAGAACATAAATACTCCCTCTACTTCAGTTTTTCTTCAGCCTATGCTTTGGGAAAATATTTTCCGAGTTTGTGTTCTACCAGAATTAGAACCTGAGTTAAGGACTCAAGTGCAAGTAGTTTATTTTAGAAGTGATTTCAGGAAACACAGTAGGGACTTGGGGAAGTGAGACAGGGAATGAAAGAAAGGCAATGAAGGGTGAATTACCAAGCAAGTATCACCATGAGCAGACAGCTTAATCTCATTGGGATTCCTGCAAAACCATTTAAAACAGTAGCCTCAGAATAACGGGTGGAAAAAAAATGAGTATATAGACACCAACTCTTCAGTCGTCGGTGGAGGTCTATTCCTAGGGTACATTAATTCAATGCATGCTAGCTAGTCTTCCAGCCCAGCACTGCTGCTTTTTGTGAGGACTTGCTCTGGAGACAAGTCTGTTCTGCCCTTATACAGGCTAGAAATGCTGGGGAGCTAACACCCATGTGGAACATCCCCATCATTACGGAAAATCAGTGTGCTCAGAAAGGGAAGGTCAAGGAGTAATGGGTGGGGCGCTAGCAGTTTGTTATAAGTATCAACATGAATTTGGGGAAAAGGAAAGCAGTCTTTCTGCAAAGTATTGGAAAGAGCAAATAAATATGAAAGAAT